TAGTTTTAGTTTGTGGGAAAATATAGTGATGCATGCTTGTGAAGATAGGCTGGAATTCCTTCAAGAATACAATGCACTTCAGCAGTCTAACTTGACAAGTGGTGCTTTGCTCTCCATTGAGGAAAAACCAGGGTTTAAGTGTTAAGGGCACATTTCACTGGAGAAGGAGGGACTCAAAGAATATGATGTAGGTGGAAGGCAGCACATCTCTCCATGGCAGTGTTCAGGGGAGATGCTTGGGAAATGGCAGAACTCTCTGGAAGGAGTCCTCTTAGTTGGGATGTCCCTAGACTGGGATGCTCAGATAGAGGCTTAAGGCATCAGTTTATTTGAGTAGAGAAAGAGACAAAGAAAAGGCAGCCATTAAAGAATGGGCTCAATATCATGGGAGCTACCACATGAACAACCAGAGATTGATCCAGCTCAGGAATTCTAGGAGGCAGCACAGAACCCATCAAGGGAAGTGGAACTCTCTACTTATCCATCCCCACCAATAAAAGTCACCACTGAAGCCATGGAACTACTTCAATGAATATAAATAATTTTCCTAAATTTTTATTTCTTTACTGTTATAGTCACCATATTTGCAATGGGACCTGGATCATAATAAAGCTTATTGTTTTTTTTCCCACTGAGTCAACTAACTTCACAGGGGGCCCAGAGAGACTGGTCAACCAGCAAGCCTCCCTGTGCCTGACCTGGGCCCTCTGCACATATGAAACAGTTGTCTAGTTTGGTCTTCTTGTGGGACTCCTAACAGTGGGAGCAGGAGCTGTCTTTGACTCTATTGCCTGAATTGGAACTCTTTCTTCTACTAGGTTGTCTCTTCCAGCTTTAACAGGAGAGGAGGTGCTTGGTCTTACTACAACTTGATATGTCATGGCTGGTTGATACCCATGGGAAGTCTACCCTTTTCTGAAAAGAAAGAGAGGAGGAGTGGATGGGGAGAAGGGGAGGAGGAGGGACTGGAAGGAGAGGAGAGGAGAGGAGAGAAACTGAAATTAAAATGTAAAATAAATAAATTAATTAACCAATTAAAAAATAAAGCATAGTGTTTTTTACATCAAGTAGATGAAAGGTAGCTTCTCCAGGGCCTTCTGAGAATGCATCATTCTGTCTTTCTTGCTTCTCAAGGAGTCCAGTGTCTCTTGGAATTCCCTGACTTGCTGAAGTGACAAAGGTATACCTCTGGAATGTATTTCCAAACACTTCTGAAGTAATATACATCTTGTTTGAATCATACTTCACCATTTACTATCGGACATATCTTGTTTAGATAAAGATACTGTTTTCATTAGTGAGTGGGGACTAATAAAACCAAGTTTGCAGTTGTACTAGTTAATGAGTCAACATAGACAAAACACTAAGCAGAGAACCCATCCTGTGCTTAGTGGTCATAGAGTTTGCACCATCTTCTCTTTTTCTACTATAAGTACAAGCATCTACTTGTTAATGAATCAGTGCTACAACACTAGGGAAAGCTAGGGAAAGCAGATTTTAGGAATAAAAGTAGGATAAAAGAAATAAAAATGGCCAGGAAAAGAGAGGTTGGGGCAGCTGCTAAGAAAGTAATTGACATTAGGTAAGTTATCACAGGAGCAACTGGAGATGAATCCTGCTGGGGCACTCTGGGAGGCAAAGGGTTGATGTTCGTAGAATACGCATTTCACTGGGTGAAAGAGGGGGTGAAGGAGAACAGGAGTTTGAAGAAATGGTGCAATGGTTAACAGCATTGGCTGTTCTTTCAGAGAATTTGGTCTCAATTCCCCACTTTCCCATTAGGGCTCACAACCACCTGTAACTCTAGTTTCAGGGGGATCCAATATGCTCATCTGCCCAGTGTGGGTACCACTCAAACACATGATGCATAGACATTCATGCAGACAAAACACACATCCATATAAAATACAAAATTTTAAAGGAGTGATGACAGAAGAAAATGGACAGGAATGTCAAGAAGAAAGCCTCCTGCTAAGAGGACAAAGGGAGACCCTCTGATTTTGTGTAGGAGGGTCCTTTGCTAGGGCCTAAATGGAGGAAGAAGATTATTTAGTCTTTGCAATGTTTTATTGCTATATTTCTAGCACATTTCTTGGGTTGATATATAATCTAGAGAAGCTTCATCCCTGGGACATCCATTCTTTGTTAGCCAGAAGTAGCTGACTGTGTGAGAGCCAAGCTTGGACAAATGTATTTGTCAAAGCAAATATGCTGCCCAGAGCATTATGTGGCAGTCTCGAAGCAAACTGCCTGTATTTCACTTTCTGTGAAAACCCACTCACTTTGGCTGAGAACAGATGGAGCTTGGAACATTCTGCACAGCCTGAATATTGACCCCCCTGTCAGTTCTGACATATGTGGTACATAATCACCTTTTTCTGTCTTTTAGCACCCTCTCTACTACCATGATTTTAAGAAATAGATGTGCTCTTGCTGTTGCTCCTTTGGAAGGGGGTAAAATCCTCCGAATGCTTTCTGACAAGGACAAGCTTATCATTGCTCTTCTTGCTTCTTCACTGCTCTCATCAAACCTTCTCATCAAACTACCACAACCAACCAGGATAAATGTACTTGCCTTGCTGCTATGGGTCATGCAGAGAAGTAGGGATGGAGGAGGAGATGATAGGAGATAATGGAGAGATGGGAGAGAGGTGTAGGTGATGGAGGCCATTGTGGTGACAGGGTCAGTGGTAATGGAGGTGATTATGATTTATGTGTGTGTGATATATATACGAGTGGTGATGTCCAAAGGCACAGTAGTGGCAAATGAGTAGTTGTAAGAGAATTAAGGACAGCTTCTCTCATAAGAACTCATCTACAAATGTTCAAAGCAGGGTTAGCCATAAAAGGCCAAAGGAGATATAGATATAACCGAGGTGTTCACTAGCTGAAGAACAGGTAAATAAATGTAGTATATCCCCATAAGGAAATATTATTGGGCTATAAGAAGCAATAGAATACTGAGACATGCTACGATACAGACAAACCATGAAAGCATCATGTAAAGTGAAAGAAGCCAATCACAAGAGCCCCACTGTACCACTCCTTCTATGAAATGTTTGGAGCAGACAAATCTATAGAAACAGCTGGCAAATGACTAAACTAGTAGTTGTTTTCAATTTGGAAAAAGTAACAGTTAATAAATGTGGGATTTTGTGGGAGGGAGAATGATGCTCTAAGACCATATTCTACACCACTGTGAATTTATAATGATTAGCTTGTATAATTAAATGCCTTCCCTTGGAACCATAACAAAACCCTGGGCTTTGTGCCTGCTATGTAAGTGTTCTACAATTACACTCCACCTTTAGGTAAATGGGTGAATTAACACAAGTGTGAGTAGTGGTGTTGTGCTGATGAAAGGCTGAACTTTGGTTGATGGCAAAGCTGGAGAAGGGGAAGGAAAACACTAGTTACCAATACTTGGAATACCTAAGTTTACACAAAGCCAAGACTAGAATACCTAAGATTTTTCTCCCCTTTGAATTCTTTTCTTTGCATCTAGAAAACTACATGTCCCATGGTTAACATTCAACTCACACACAGGTATTTCTAGAACCAGGCCAAGGTATCCACTGTCATTGGGATTGTGTTGAAATGGATCATCTTTGGTTTTCTACCCAGTGTATACAACTTAGGAACAATTGAACAGAGTATGCAGATTTTGTTTTCTGGGGTGAGTGTAACATCAGACGAAAGTCGGTGGCTGGGATCTATAATTTTTAATAACTTTAAGCTAGCTACAAAATGTCAAATCACTTCACAAACCAACAGAGGAGACAGGAGGGATTTAATATACATGCTGTAATGATATTTATCTCACAGTTTATCTATATTTCATTCATTTATATAATTTTTTAAAGGTTTCTTTATCAGCTACTAAACATCTCAGCAATTTGGTGTGCATAGCTCTAGATTAAGCAACATAGAATTATACTGATGACAAACCACAGGGAAATGGTGATAAACAAGAGCCAGACTTAGATCTTCACGTTTTCCACATAGCAAGAGTATTGTCTCCAAAACACAGCTTTCAAAAGCATTCGACAAACCCTATATTACATCCGTTTCACATAGCTTCAGCCAAACATATATTTTGCTAGAAATGATTAATGGTGTGTTAAATCCAGTTTGTGTATGTGTGATGTGTGTGTGTGTGTGAAAGAAAAGAGAAAGGGATGATTATGATCAGTAAGTCTGTATGTTGACAGAAAGAAGGTGACACAGCTGCAGGTTTTGCTGGTATGACTTAATCTTGACAGTGTTCCAATACTGAGCATGCGTAGTTGTTACTTTGTTATTGTTGCTGTTGTGTGTGTTTTCTTGTCAGTATGCTACTGTCATGGAGAGTTTTTGTTTAAGTAGGATTCTAAAAGTCTATTTAGTTCTCATGCATAAATGCATAAATCACATCACTTTTAGTGCAATGCCTGTTATGTAATTTCACATTGTCTAATTATGAAATCATAAAGACAAAGAATAGCCATGAGGAACCAAAGACAGCACATTTGGAGAGATTCAGAGCCTGACAGCCTAAGAAAGGACCATGGCAGTAGCTCTGTGGAATGTCACAGTTTTACAAGAACAATACTGTGTATTGAGAAAATCAACAGCACATTGAGCATTCCTAAATTGTTGTCATTCAGCAAACGCCACTGAGAAAAGAAAAAAGAAATGAGACTCAAGACATCTTAAGTTGGGAATTAGAGCCACCAGATGACCACTATGTACAACCTTTGGAAAGAAAGAGAGCCAGAGGAAACAAAAGACACATGGTATCATTGGGAAGCTGACATACCACACAGGACATTTACAATGGGGGTGACTGACTCTGTGTGTGTATGTGTGTGTGTGTGTGTGTGTGTGTGTGTGTGTATGTGTGTGTGTATGTATGTGTGTTTATGTTTATGTGTGCAAGACCTACTAGGTAATACCATGAGAGAAGCATGAAGGAGCTCTCTTGTCCAACATTTGGAGGAGAGCACAGCAGAAGGGCAAATTTAACCACTTCCCAGCATCTTTGTTGCACGTTGGTTGGCTTCATCAATTCTGGTTTTGTTGGAATCAGCCTAGAAAAGAGGAGGGAAGAGAGGTTTTAGATTACTCCTTAAGGTCCTATTCATCCTCTGTGTCCACTCAAGTTCTTTTGTGAATCCACCCATTCAGAATTATCACTATTTCTCTCCATCCCCAGGACCATAAGTGGACCATAAGGCCTTAAGTGGACACGGTCACAGAAACTTGACTTGAGGTCTCAATGTTTTTCCACACTGGAGAGCATCTGCTGTTTAAGGACAGGGTTCTATGCTAGAAAGGCACTCAAAGGCTAGACCTTTAAGCCCCAGGAAGTTAACTGCTCCCATGACCATGGAGTAAGGCAGCAAGGAGAGGCTATTGCTCTTTCCCATCACAAGCGGGTTTGTTGTTTGTAACTCTACAGCTTGGGCAAAGAAAGGAGAAGGCCACCAGGAAGCAGATCCACGGAAGCAGAGTTAGTTTTCTAATGATCTACTATCACTTACTTACAGATCATAGGCTGTGAACCTACTTTCCTACTTTCTAATCTCTACTGAGTAGGTATACTCAATTTGAATTTATAAATTCCTAGCACACTGGAGTCATCCATGCTCAAACAGAGATCTGGAAAGTTGAACTATTTCTGGATTATTTACAACTGAATTATCTGGCTATGGTTCTCTACCATCTGTTTGGTTAATCAAGAATTGGCTTCAAAATGAGTATTTACATCAAAAGAGAGAACATTGATTTGTCCTGATTATTCAGAACTATAGACACATATTTTTGACTCCAGGCTTCTCATTTGGAAAATGGATAATCCCTCCAATTTTATATGGGTCTCAGATCCTTCTTCTATACCTACACACTGTGTCAGAAATAATCATACTTCGTTGAAAAGGCAAATGACTAGCTCAGGCCAATTTGACATGTTCCTATAGATTGAACTGTGCTATTTCTAGACTAAGCTCAGAGAAGCTGAAGTGAGAAAAGAATCCACTTGAAAACAAATGTCATTCCTGAAGGCAAATGTAGACCATCTTGCTTGCAAATGCAATGCCTGGCCTTCACTAGGTAGCTTGGGGGATATTTAAGTAAAGCAGAGGCTATTCTTGGGATATTCTCAAAGGACAGGGTGGAGCTGGAACACCTTTGTTCAATGGATGCCTGCTCCTTCCTCGCAAGTTCTCTGATTCACATTCAAATCCCAGACCCATAATACATGGCACAAAAATACCAAATACTTTTTATGTGGTATATAAAAGAAATGACACCTTTTAGAAAACAAAAACAAAACAAAACCTGACAGAATCTCCCTTCAGGTGTGTCCCTTGGGAAATGCCTCTGTGTTCATTCTGGGTGTTTTTTTTTTCTCATTCTTGAGGATTTCTTTTTAAAATAGAGGCTACCCATCCTAGTATTTTTGTTTGATTTTAGAGAATCCTAAGATTGCTGACATTTCTAAGACATTTCATAATTCCCCTTTGTGGAAAGGCCAGTGCCCATCAGGGATCCCAGACATTGTTAGAAGGGGGTGCTCAGTACATTGAGCTCTTAGCTTCAGGCAGGTGCTGTACTGGCCCAGATCAGACATCTAAAACTGTGTGTTTCATACACTAGCACATTCATATTCCAGAGTGAATCTGTTGCCCCATCTTTCAGTTCATAGAATTGGTGAACTGCAAATCTCTTTTAGAAGCCATGGCCTTATTTTTCAGGCTATGTGTTCTACACAATGGAAGACCTTGAGAACCACCTGGCTGTGTCTCAATACACTTTCTTCCACCAAACTTTACTTTAAAGTTTGAATATCTTCATTGCTTCATTAGCACTGGTTTGTATGAAGCTTGGGATGGAAACTTACTTCTCTTTTCAAATTTTCTAGAAGAACAATATGCTTGTAACTTTGAAAGATTGTACATATAAACATACATAGGCAAAACCACAAAGCAATGTCTTACAAATCCACAAGACTGTATCAAAACTCTTACTGTTTTGAACTCCTCAGAATTTACTATCAACCCAAATGATGATGAGAGAAAATCATAGTGGGGTTAGGACAGAAGAAAATTCTCTTTGCTTTGCCTATTACGTAGTTTTAACTCAACACTATACATATTGAGACTTCTGATATAGTTACCAAATACTAGAACTTCCTTGAGAAATAGGGAATACTATAGCTCAGTAACATGATCAGCTAGACTCAAATGGGCTGTTTAAATTGTGTCCAGATTGTGACTTTGTGTATGGGGGTTTTATTTCAAATATTGGCCAAGCTATACTAATTATTGTAAGGCAATTATACCCCTTCACTCTACCTCAGTGACTCAGCAGTCTAGGGTTCATGCAAACCAGAGCAGCTGTTTCCCATCAACTTGTCTGGCCTTTCCATAAACTTTTATCCCTGTGTACAGCTTTATTGGTAAATAAATAGCTAAATCCAGAACGTTCTCACCATTCTAGAGAACTACACCAGCAGAGGCATCAGAATGTGGTTTCTGCTGCCTTTACAGGAGGAATAAATATTTCTTTGTCCAAGCCAGTTACTCAAAGATTTGACCCCTTACATTAGTAAAATTCTCTTCCCTGGAACCTTTCTTGGCTTTGTTGAGTTATCTGCTTGCTTCTGAGTCAATTTGGTCCAGTGACATAAAGCGAGCACTTCCTGTTTTTTCAGATTGTTTCCCTTCTGGAAAACAGCTGAGCAATTATTTCTATGTTCATTTTTCCTTTGGAGCTATAATGGCTTAGGTCAGGCTGAATTGGTTCCAGCACTTGTTTCAAGCTTTCAACATGGTTCTACAATCCATTGGCTCTCACAGCATTAAAAGCTTTATGATGGCAAAAGCTGCTTAGCCATGACAAGCATGTTGTAACTTGCAAACATAAGCAAAACACAAGCATTTTCTAGCCAGCTCTGACATATGTGTAGTTCAATACCAATCAGGCAAAATATTATGTGGTCATATATTGTTTATCTAGAGCACATATGACACAATACTATCTATTCTTCCCTTTGCAGCACTGGCGAATGCTTAGGGATCAAGAAACTATTACTTAGATTTGTTATTTAAAAGATCTAAATATGAACCCACTCCGTTCTTGGCAATAGAAAAGATATAGAGACTCAAAAATCTCAGATTAAGAACTTCAGTGTCTCACAGAGAATAAGTACACAGCACAAGAGTAGCTAGATATATATTACACATAAAATTATTGTTAGACTGTTAATGCACCTAATGGCTTTTGGACAGGTAAAAAGATTATAATTAATATTCAACATGCTATTGGGGACAAGAAGACAAGGAAAGAAATGGTGTCTGATTTGTATGGTGAATTGTTTCATGGTTTTCGTGTCCTGACATGAATTCCTGGGCAGTGGGAATATGATGTCTCACTTTCATGTGTTCTAAGTGCCTAGCACATGCCTGGCATGGGAGAGATAGAGAAGTATCAACTACACTCAACCATATGGTCTGGGGTAGGAGTGTAACTCATTGCTGGAACACTTTTCTAGCATACCCAAGACCCTGTGCTCAATATCCAGGACCCACAATACATCAAAACCCAAAGTACATTCTAATCTTCATTCCAGTTCTGCTGCTGAATCTCAGGCTTTTGTTTTGAAATATTAAGGGCAAAATATCCAGCCACTAGTTTGCCTGGATGTAGCATCCACTTCCTAGTGGCAATCAGTAGTCAGCACCTGAGAGCTATAGACTCACCTTCTCCATGATCCTGTCGATCTGGCGATTCTGGGTGTCGATCTCATTACCCATGTCTAGGGCCATATGACGGAGGTTTCCGATGATGCCGCTCACCTGCTCCAGGTTCTCATCCATTTCATTTTCCCGGGCATCATTTGTTACCCTGGGAGCCAGAGAGCAGTTTTGGAAGACAGAGTGAGAAGAAAGTTGTTACTAAGGAGCAGAGCTTGTGGGAAGTAACACACATCTAGGAATAGTCCTAATTCTTATTCAATTATACCAACACATCTTAACATCTCTCAGTTTCAAGTGTAATTTAAAAATTTATGTTTTGAGCTCAAAGTGTAGTTTAAAAGTAGAATTCTTGTGTACTTATACAAATACTGCGTTTGAAAGTCTTGAATTCTCTCTTTGTATCTTTCTCCAATAGGGTTTGGAGAAGCCAAAGCTGGCTGAGGTCTAGATTCACCCTTCTCATTGTGTCTAGTATTACAAGTATTACAAGTATACACTTCTGCACCCATTTTGAATTTACAATTCATATTAAATACACCAATGTATTTACTTTTGTGATTTCTAAAATTACATAATTTCCTTCTTCTTATTCAGTTACTATTTTATTTGTTTAGTTATTATTTTGTTATTTTATTTATTTTTAATGTGTGTGTGTGTGTGTTCACGTGTGAGTCCCAGTATCGGCCATGGTACCCATGTGAAGGTCAGAAGGCAGCCAGGTATAAGCCATTGCTCTCTACTAAGTCTACCAGGGTGCCTTGCTCTTCAACATACATAGCATGGATGGGCTTCCAGGATGTCCCCTGGCCACTTTCCATGTCACCACAGGTACATTAGAATGATAGATGTACCCTATCACATCTGCCATTAACATGGTTTTTGGGCATATGAACTCACCTGAGAGGCAAGTATTTTATCACTGCGACATTTCTGAGCCACCCCATATCCTAATTTATTTTTGGGCAGATAAAAGCATTTATTCTGAGGAACTCTAGGGCAGAGGATGGAGGCAGAATTATATAGAGACTACGGTTTATTTTTGTTTTGTTTTGCTTTGTTTTTCTGAAACAGATTTCTAAGATTCAACTTGTGTATCTTGGAAAGTCAGGTAGTGAATTTCAGTGCTCATTGTTCTCTGGCCTTGGGAATCTGGGGCACGATAGAACAGCAGTTATAAACTGTCTGCCTTTTGATTTGAAAACTCCTACGGGATTTAAAGGAACTGCTTTTTTTCAGGGTGATTCTTATACACACACATGCTGATGTCACAGGTTTTGTAGGGGCATTGGAGCAGGTGCTTTTGGAGCAGAAATGTGTATATCTGGTGGTTTCAGTTGAGTTGGGTAGGAATGGGAGGTTAGGATCTGGCTCACAAAGCACTTTACCACGTTTCCAAAGGCCAACTGGAAGGTTAAGAAGGCACTCTATTGCAAACAGCAGGCATCTTACTGCAAATAGAAAGCACTTATTACAGAATTTTCCTACTAGTTATAGTAATGAGCTAAAAATGGAAGGTTTAAACTCCTTTTCCCATGGCAACACCCAACATACACTGGCATATTATAACTTCCTTTGTTTATTCTGTTTTGCTTGCAACCTTGTCTCCAAATATAGACCAAGCTGGCTTTGAGCACTCAGACCTTCTGAGTGCTGGGATAAGAATCCTATGACACTATGCCTGGTTCCACTAAGATATATAAGAGCCAGAGCCAGAGCAAATTAGCAAATTTAAAGATTAAGAGAGACCTCCTAGCATTTACCTCTTTCATTTGAATGATCATCAACAACGAATAACTTCCTGTAGCACCATCATTTCCATCCCTAAAGCACAGTGGAATCACCTGGGCTTTACAAATCATAGATGCTTGTATCTCGTGTCATGAGATTTGGATTAAATTGCTGTGGACTGAGTATTGGCACTGATCTGTCTTTCTCCCTGCTTACCTTTCTCCCTCTTCTTGCCTTTCTCCCTGCTTTCCCCAATCCCCTTTCTTTTTTTTTTTTTCATCTCTCATAGTTGATACTTATACAACCACTGCACTGGAATATAAATTATTAATTTAGTTTCCTTGGAAGCAGATGGAGGTAAAATTAGAATTGTCATTTGTAAGGCATATTAGACCCTATGCCTTATGAACCACATTTGAATCACAGCATTATTGATTGGCCAACAATTACAATAATTTAGGAGTATATAGTCATGAAGACAAACATTTTCACCTATGCTGAATTCTGGTATAACGGTCTATATTGGTGATTCTCAACCTTCCTCATGCTGCCACCCTTTAATACAGATGCTCATATATTAGAAAATTATTTTTGTTGCTACTTCATAAGTACAATTTTGCTCCTGTTTTCAATTGTACTGTAATTATTTCTGGAGATAGAGCTTTGCTCAAGCAGTTATGGCCCACAGGTTGGAATTGTCTATATGTAATAATAATCTTAACACTCTTAATTGATACGGTTTACATTTTCTTTGACAAAATTAAGCTGTTCTGGTTAAAATAAACTGGTGGTTGTATGGAATGAATTGGGGGGGTACATGTTAAAAAATATAATGACTTTTAATCTTTCCTTCTTTATACAAAATATGTGGCTGTTTTTCTGCTTAGTGGTATTCTTGGGGCTGAGATATTGGCTGATTTATATAGCTTGAGCTTTTAAAAACAGATATTTAAAATTTTTTTGATTCTAGATCTCAAAAGAAGTGGTTAATATGTGTCCCATTTTTCCCCCTTTCCCACTGCAAATCTGGTCCTTGACTTCCCCTGCTCTGTGGCCTGAGAAGCTGACTTTTATTACTGTGCTACTGGCTCCTTGTTTGCTGACTTCCTGTATGCTTTGAGTAGTGGCCTGTGAGAGACTGGAGGTCATGAAAGCAGGGTTTAGGGCATTTGCTTCCCTTTCTCTTTCTAGCCAACTCTAGCTATGGCTGTATTTCCCTATCATAAAACCCTTTTGTTCTTGCACCTGTCTGCTGATAAATGAGTGGTAGTAGCTTTCTACTACTAGGCTATAAATGCTACATCACTCTTGCTGTTTAACAGGCTTCTGCAACAGTGTCTTTAATACATTTTGCTAAAATAAACTCATGTCATGTGATGCCTTTCCATACATCTAGAATTTCTGATTCTAGATGTGGTCATGGGATTTGCTTTGCCTAGAGACACCATGGGAAACAGTACACATGCCATAGTTCGGAAGGATATTGTGTCTTGGATTTTTGCCTGCCTAGCACACTATCATTACCATGGAGTAACCTGAGCTTTTTGCTGGAAGACCTCATGCAGGTGGACGGAAGTGCCTCAGAAAGCCCGGTGAAAGACCAGACAAAAGAATGAAGCTATCATAATCCAGTCGTAGCCCAATGAGTGAGCCCAAAAATTCCTTGCAGAAGAAAATAAAATAGTTCAGTGCTGGTTATCCATCAACAGAGAACTGCAAAAAAACTCACCTGCGGATGAAGCCACCACTGATGGCCATCTGCTCCCGTTCATCCACCACACGGGCAGGCTGGCTGGCCACTACTCCATCCTGATTATTGCCCCAGGCTTTTTTGTAAGCATCACTGGATTTAAGCCTATGCAAAAAATCGGGTGAGTGACAAAGCCCAGGGTGGAGTGGCAAGCTCACAGAAATGATCACTTCTTTAAGCGAAGAACCGTACCAAGCAAATGAGTTTTAAGTTGAGGCATTAGAGAATACCGATATATCATAATCTGGACCCAAACAGTTGGCCACCACCACACCTCAGCTATTCAACATTTTAGTTTCAGTTGAGCCAATTGCAATGGTCAAGACCAATCTTTGGTTTGATTTGTGCTTTAATTGGATTTAAGATAAGACTTAAGATAGCTGGTGAATATTCATTTTTATTTCAGTGACATGATTATATTTTGAGACACAAAACACAGAAAAACATACTGGCAGACAGACACAAAACAAGACTGCCAGGTAGAGGGTGTACATCACACCACAGTAACACAGAGTCATGAAGAAAAACATACTTTTAAACACACTATCATGCAGTGATCTCTGCTTAATATCTTTCCCCCAATGCATGTATGCACTACATTTCAATGTTTCATGAAAGACACAAAGGATTGGTGGTTGGCCAAGGGTGATGGTCTTTGGCTTGCCTCTAGAGTGGTTTGAAATTGATAATATATCGGTACTTCCAAATAGTCACCATACATCCAGGGTTGATGTACAAACCTTTGTCCACAGAGACAAAAAGTAAAAGAAGCATAGTGAAATGAATGCAGGAAAATAGAAGAGAGAACAAGCCATCTAGCACCAAAGAGGAACCCCACCTCCACCCCACCCTGTGTCTTCTTCATGCACCAGCTACAGGCATGAGTAGAAAGTGAAGCATTCTCATTTAAGCCAAACTACTCCAGAAGTTGACCATTCTCGAAATAGGCACTAGCAGGACAGTAATAGCCTTCGTGAGGATTTGAAACGCAGTTCAGTAGCTTCTTGGTTGGGCCAAAGGGCAGGGTAGTGTGCAAACAGATTCCTACATTAAACTATTCTGGGTTATGACAAGGGACAGTGGTTTGGAACTAGTGTGGTCTCCATGGGCTACATTTCGCTGACCTGCCTTGGAACAAAACTTAAAATCCAGGCATACCTGTTGTGCCCAATAGAAACATATAGAGCATATTTTGGTGGGTGTGTTGTAATTCAAGGCAATCAAAGATGTTTCTAGGTTCTTTGCATAGTAGAAACCACATGCTATTGAGTCCAAGAACAACATACATCCTTCGGTCCCATTTCTCAGTTTTTATTCTAAGACGACAAGATTATATTCCTTTCCCCCACTTTTTCTCACACTAGGCTCAAAGCCATCTCTTAAACTGGCTTTAATCCTTGTAGACTGAGGACCAAGAAACCATGGTGACAAACTGGGAAATGCACCAATGGGATTTCAGCAGCTTCCACAATTTACCTTCAGCCCTTTGAGAAATCACTACTTACTGTACCAAAGGGCTATGAGCCCACTCAATGAATAGTACAAGGTCATCAAACAATTTTTCATAGTTCAGTGTTTGTCTCTCCATCCCTCCTCCCCATTCCCTCTTTCTTTTTTTGGTTACAAGAAGCTGTTTGGACTTTGTGATGTTTTCTGCTATGTAAAATGTCTGGCATTCCATCTTTGGCAAAGTCAAAGGAAAGGGAAATATGCGTTTCCAAAGAGAAGGCAAACCACTGCACCCACAACGCTGCACAGACTCACATCACGGCCGAACATCTATCATAGTCCTTCGAAACATGCCGAGACAGGGCAAAGCCCCCAGAGAGTCCAGGGCACCACCAGCCACTGCGTTGTGACACATGGTTTTTAAAGCATTATTTACACACGTTAGGGGACACTTCACTCAAGCTTTGAAGCTCAATTAGGGTCTCTTTCGAATTAAGGAATTAGGGACCACTTATATATGGATTTAGTAGGGTCATTTTTCTTTAGAACCTGAGGATCTACCTCAAAGAGCCCTGCCTCCACCCTTTCTTCACACACAATGGATGAAGGGTTGAGAGGGTGTATCTGGTGGAATTCACTCCAAAAGTAGGGTAAATTGGCTCTTAAAAGGGCATATTGTCAAATCTTGACTAACTGGAATGTTTGACAATAAAATATTTTGAAGAATTCTATATCTTTGCCAGTAATTAGGAGGCTCTGGTGTGTATGTGTGTGGGGGGGGGATTTGTTTTAAAGGTAATTGGTAAATATCTTTTTCAAATTCGTGAGCCAGTTTTCAGTTCAGGGGTCTTTGGGGGTGGGCACAATCAAATCTTTTCACAATCACAGCTTTTAATGATGATGTGTCTGATGACCTTTGAAATCAATTCTGTTATCACTTATTTATTCCTGCTTATGTAGAGCTTGTAGAATAGAGACTACATGAGACACTGAAATGTCCTGGGCACCAAAACTATTTCAAATATGAGCAGACTGCTTCCTATTATCCTCACCCCCTTTTTAGCTAAGAACAGAAAGGAGACAAACGTGTTTTGCAGAGGAGGGTTCCAGCCAGCTAGATTCCAGTTAGTCAGGCTTTACTTCATAGCATTCTTTTTTTTTTTTTAACATTTTTATTTATGGGTAATATGAGCCCCTCCCCCTCCTAAACAGGAAGTGGGATATTTCAAATCAGCCTCAAAGTTTAAAGGGTGTGAATGGTCATATAATCTGCTCAAAAATCACATCAATTTCTAGTCTAAAAGCTAGGATCAGGAGAGCTTTGGGGTAAAAGGTTTCTTTTTAAGACGGAAAGGGGGAGGGATCAGGAAGATCAGGTAACTTTAATTTTCCAAATGCATGTTGGGCAATCCACTCATGCATTTTCCCCCCTACTGCTAGCCAAATGATACTATCTTCTAGAATCCCTGAGTTTTGGGTTCTTTCTGTTGCAAAACTTTATAACCACATGTCACATTTCTGCTACATTCCAAAAAAAAGCGTTGCGAACCTTGAGAACAGTTAAATGTTTTGTGATGTCGTGCATGCAAAATCTACACATTTCAACATTTCAGCCAGTGTACGGGCAGATCTTCCAAGAAGAAGAGTTGGAGTGCTTGGATCAAATTGGAAACAGGCACTAATGTCTCTGACTAAAGAGAACGCCTGCACTGGGTGAGGCTGTAGCATCTCATGACCAAATACACAAGCTGGTGGGCAGGCAAGAGGGAATCTGCCACACTCTCTGACTTGCAGAGGCTTACTTGGGCTAAATTAGCCCATCTATTTTACTTCTGAAAAAAAAAATCAAACCTTGATTCGTGTGCTTTGAATCCCCCACACTTACCCAAAATCTTTTCTAAATCAACAATTTAGTTCTTGGGATTGAGGAAATTAACATGCCCTGAGTGCCTGTGTCTCAAAGTACACTTTCTGGAAAATGTTGAAATGTTCATCAATAAAAATTGCTGACAGTGAGGCTTTCACTGGAGTATGCCTGATTTTTAATGCATCAACAGTAACTCTCACTAATATTATCTATGCTATGAGATGAATGCATTGGAGACGGTATTGATCTCTTCTGCATGCCACATGCTCATCCTGCCTATGAGCCTGCAGGAATGAGCTAGTCAAGGCTTGGAGATGAGCCTTGGGAAAACCAAAGCTTCAGGCAGGCAGGCAGCACCTACTTGTTACAGGGACACACACAAAGCCCGCAGAATTTTCCTAGGTCCGTCAAATTCTTTTCTGCTTCTTTCATGTCCTTATTGATTTGGTCCATCCCTTCCTCAATGCGTTCCAGTTGTTCTGATTAAACACAAGTATTTTATCCCCACAGAATGAAGCAGATGGAAAAGGACAAAGAAAAAAAAGACAAAACTTCAGACATTCACTTTGACATTAAAAAAGAAAAACAAAAAAAAAGAAAAAGAAAGAAAGGAAGAAAACTGGACGCCACAGATTAGAGCTGGTACCCAGTACCTACTTGTTACAAGGACATATGAAAAGGCCACAGCATTTGCCTAAATCTTTTAAATTTTTCTCGGCCTCCTTCATGTCTTGGTTGATATGGTTCATGCCTTCTTCGACACGATCGAGTTGTTCTGGTTAGGACAAAGGGATGATAGTGTGGAATGAATTTTTTGGGGGTTTCCAACAGAACATGAGAAATGACTATGTGAAACAGAATTACAGAGAAAGAGAGAGAGAGAGAGAGAGAGAGAGAGAGAGAGAGAGAGAGAGAGAGAGAGAGAGAGAGAGAGAGAGA